CTGAATATGAGACAACGGCGGTGGCTAGAATTTATGAAAGACTATGATGTAGAGATCTATCACCATCCAGGCAAAGCCAACGTGGTGGCAGACGCACTGAGCCAAAAGACGACTAGAAGTTTGGCATGTACTCTCGTTTCCCGCAAGATCAATGGACTGCGTGCCAACATAACCGTGGAACCTACATTGATTGAAGAAATTAAAGCGCGTCAATGGGAAGATAAACTTTTGAAGAAAAAGTACGAGGAGTAAAGGAATATGCTTGATCCTGATTTCACTATAAGCAATGAGATACTGAAATTCTGAAATCGAATTTGCATACCTGACATCCTGGAACTCAAGAAGAAGATACTAGTGGAAGCTCATAACTCGAGATTTGTAGTCCACCCTGGCAACACAAAGATGTACCATGATCTAAAGGAACACTACTGATGGACAAGAATGAAAAGAGACATAGCAAGCCATGTCTCCAAATGTCTGCATTGTCAGCGTGTTAAAGTATAACATCAGAGACCTGCAGGACTACTGCAACCACTCCCTATTCCTGAATGGAAATGGGAGCACATCTGTATGGACTTCGTGGTCGGGCTACCACAGTCATTTTCGAAGAATGATGCAATATGGGTTATAGTAGACCGATTAATGAAGTCGGCGCATTTTCTACCAATCAAAATCATGTACTCCCTTAGTAAGTTTGCCACCTTGTACATCAAAGAAATTATTCGTTTGCGTGGTACCCCAGTTTCAACCGTGTCTGACCGAGACTCTTGCTTCCTGTCTCACTTCTGGAAAAAATTACAGGAGGCTTTGGGGACTACACTGAAGTTTAGTACGACTTTTCATCCACAAACTGATGGCAATTCGAAAGAACAATCCACACGTTGGAAGACATGTTGCGTATATACGTGTTGAACCTCAAAGGTAACTGGGATGAGCACCTGCCTTTAGTGGAATTCGCCTATAACAACTATCAAGCAAGCATTAGAATGACGCCGTACGAAGCTTTGTATAGAAGGAGATGTCGATCACTTCTATGTTAGGCCCCGAGATCGTGCAAGTCACAAGTGAGAAAATCCAACTCATCCAACAGCGAATTCGCACTGCTTAGAGCCGCTTGAAAAGTTATGCAGATACAAGGAGACGGGACTTGGAATTTCAAGTAAGGGATCATGTGTTCCTCAAGATCTCACCAGAAAGAGGAGTTATCTGATTTGAAAAGTGAGGAAAGTTAAACCCATGTTACATCGGGCCATTCGAGATACTGGAAAGAATTGGCCCTGTAGCCTTTCGCCTTGCACTACCACTTGAACTATCCAATGTCCACAATGTGTTTTACGTTTCAATGCTTCAACGGTATCTTCGAGATCTAGAATATGTTGTTGATTATGAGGACTTGGAAGTTCGAGAGGACTTCTCTTATGAAGAGTAACCAGTGCCGATTCTCGATCGTTGTGATCAAGTTCTCCGAAATAAGACCATGCCGCTGGTAAAAGTTTTATGGAGAAATCATCGTATCGAAGAAGCTATGTAGGAAACAAAATGTCAAATGCGAGCCAAATACCCACACCTCTTCAAAATTAAGGTACGTCAAGTTTGAGGACAAACTTCTATTTAGAAGGGGAGAAATGTGACACCCTGAACGTTTAATTAAATATCACATAAATATTTATAGTTATATATAATTGTGAGTGTATGTGATAATATATTATTAAATAAATAATAATAAACACGAAATCTAATTTGGCGTTGGATTATCAAATATGAGATTAATTAGGGATTATTATTTGGGGACAAATTAACAGAAATATGGAATTATCATACTAGTTTGGCCAAATTAAAGTTAAAGATAGTAAATAAATAAATATAAAAGTAAGAGTAAATAAATAATAATATTGGTAACAATAATGATAATAATATTAATACTAGTGGGAGTGATAGTAAAATAAAATAATTAATTTTCTGTCAGTATGCGATGAAGTGTCATTTAATTACGGATTAATTTGTGTTTTTATCAAACGAAGGGGGAATATAATTATTTTAAAGAATTGTGGCTAAAATATAATTACCTCAAGTTAATAAGATAACTATAGATCTAACAAGATTTCAATCCAAATCTTAGGCAAATTGCTATGGACACGTGGAGGGTAAAAGAAAGGCCTGCCTCCTTATAAATGGGGAGGAGATCAAGATCAAAGAAGAAGAAAAGGAAAAAAAGAAAAGAAAAGAAAAGAAAAGAGAAGAGAAGAAAAACGCAAGGGTAGTGGAGATAGGAAACTAAGATGTAAGAATGTTTGTGATAGTGAAAAGTAAAGGCAAATGGTCAATTTTAAGGTGAGTTATATTATATCTTGAGTTATCATAATATATTTTACGTACGTTTTGACTTACCATAAATTATTTTATACAAGTTGTATTTTATTAGTTATATTAATACATGTTATGTTTTATAAATATTTCAGCTATGTGGATTAATTTTTGAACTCCATTTGTCTAAAATGAAACTCATGAATATGTTTGTTTAAATTTTAAAGAATATTTAACTATGACCTTATAAACAATTATATTTTGTAAGTACCACCACGGGAGTCTCATGCCTTGGAGAACTTAAATAACAATTGGCTTTTGTTTGGCCACTTTGTTATTCTCTGTTTGTCATGGATCCATTGACCTCTGTTCTGACTATCACTTCTGTGAGCTCTGTTCTGTTCTGTACTGTGGTTATGGTTATTTATTTATATAATTTATGTATTTTAGTTTTCTGCCACTTAAATGATTTATTTACTAAATTAAGTTATGTAAATGTTTTGGCTTAACTATCCATGGTTATTTTGTATTCTCTATATTCTTGGCATAATATTTCTTACTCTGTTGTGTGCTTATAGCTGTTATCCTTTCAGGTGATGATATGTAAGGAAGACCCATAATCTTGTGTAGTGGAACCTGTGTAAGAAATTGATACAGATCTGTTAAATTATTTTTCTTTTCTTTTCTTCCTGTCGTTTTTTTTCTGATGGTCGGTCGTTGCATAATAAAAAAATAAAAGCCTATGGATGTATTTTTTTAAAAAAAATAGTAGAATGAAGTAATTTCCTGTTTAATTTTTTTTTATTTCTGCTTGCTCAGTTTAATTTGTTACAAATAGAATAAGTTAGTAAGTTGCGATTCTAACCCTAAACCCTAGGTTGGGTTGTGACAAATTAACATGAGAATTACACATAATTAATTAAAATTAATAAGTGATTAATTAAGCTAAGGAATAATTAGTAGAATAATGTTATATGTACCAATTGATATACTAACTAGTGTACCAATTGATGATGTGGCATAATTTAAGAAATTTTTAGAATTTGTAATGTGATTAATGAGTGTGATCAATAATAATGTCATAACTAGTGGTAATACACTAGTTAGTAACTAATTGGTATATGTAGCACTACCGTAATTCGTATGTTAATCTAATGTGAGTCAATTTAATGAAAGATAAAGAAATTTAATAAAGTCAATTTTATGAGTAGAGTTATTATTTTAGATCAGAAATTAAAAGTTGAGATGATTCAAGAAATCACGAGCTTAATTGAATCAATTTAATACGTTGAACTTTATAAGAGTTTAATTAAAAATTTGATTCAGATTAATAAAGTTGAGAATGATTAAATTAAGTCTTGATTGAGATTAATTATATTAATTAAGTCATATGGTAATTATAATTAATTACGACTAGGTGAGATCTGTATAAATTTGAAATAATTAAATTAAGAAATTAAGCTTAATGAAATTAATTAAAGGGGGTATTTACATAAAAGTCTTAATTTATGAACTTATATTTCATTTAGGCCAAGTTTGGGGACTTCAAAAAAAGCCAAAAAGCCAAAAAGTTACTCAAAAAGTTAAAAAGTTAACACTATTCACCAAAAGTCAACAATTACGACTGCACAACTCCCAATTCAAATTTTTTCCTACAAATCAATTTTTACAATTTTTTATTACACATTTTTCTATTCATCAAAAGTCAACAATTACGGCTGCACAACTCTCAATTCAAATTTTTCCCTACAAATCAATTTTTACAATTTTTTATTACACATTTTTCAATAAAAAGTCAAAAAGTTAACCCAAACATTCATATTTTCAACCTCAATTTTTTAGTCCAAAAAGACAAAAAGTGCACTTTTTTAGTCTTCCCAAACTTGGCCTTAGTCCTAATTAAGATATTTTTGGATATTCAAGTTCCATTAAATTTTTAATAGTCGGAATTGCTATTCAAATAGTGATTGTTTACCTTCAAACAATGATTGTTCATTATTTACGATTATCTATAAAGGAACATGATGATTTGACATTTATTTTGATTTTCAAAATTTTAAAATATCAACTTTTAAATTTTTTTTGAAAAATTTGAAAAAACTAAATTATTTTTTTGTGCAAAACTAAAAAATTTGTGTCTATAAAAGAGCATGATTATAGAACATTGATGTGCAAAATTGGAAAAAAAAAATGAAAAATGAAAAAATTGATAATGTTCTCGATTTTATTGAATAGTTGAATCAAACCAATAAGTAAAAAGGCAAAAACGTTTAATCTCATACTTTATTTTTTATCAATTAGCGAAATAATTATCTGAAACATTACTATACAAAATTAATAATGTTCTTAGTTTTAAAAATTGAAAAAACTGATAATATTCACAATTTTACTAAATAGGACTTATTGATTCAAAAAATCTTACATAGCACCTGAATTACCATAACACTTGTAAATAAGACTTTAAGTAATTAACTCATAATTTTAAATCAAGTGTTAACTATAATTAATTAAAATTAAGTAAAATTGTTAACTATAATTAAAATGACAATTCTACCCTTATTAATTTTTGACTTTCAATAAATTCCTGTAAATAGTATGAACTTTTTGTTTTTTTAATAATTTTTTAATTTTTTAATTTTTTGAGACCTTTTTTTAACTACACGGAAAATGTGTGTATATTTCGGAGGGTACATTCTCGAGAATTTGAGAAGTGAACACGTATTCAATTAACTCTTTTGTTGGGAAAACCTGGGGGAGAGAGACAGAACCGAGAGGGGGCATCGATCGATCGATCGAGAGAGAGAGACAGAGAACTCATGGTGCTGAAGAAGAACAAAGAAGAGAAAAGGAAGACTTCAAGTTTTGTGCTGAAAAATTGAAGGAAGAACTCAAGTGATTCAACAAATTAAAGTTCTAGGTAAGAAATCCAAGCCTAATTCTTGCAAGAAATTTATGTGATAGTTGAATTTAAGAAGTAATTGGGTTCAATTACATGAAAATAGAAAGAAATTAGGAAAAGCATGAGGAAATTTCAACTAATTTAGGTACAAAGAACTGGGTTTAGAAATTGATTATTTGAGTTTGATTTCGGTCATTCTTCATGAATTTCAACTCAATCTCTACATACTTCATGATGTTTGCAAGTTTTGAGACTTTAATTTCATGATCAAAAGAAGAAGAATTTGGAAAATATTAAGTTCATGGAATTTTAAGTTTAAATTTTGGAATTAATAAGATTTTGATGCAAAAGAATTTGGAATATGTCATGTTCTTATGTTTATTAATGGAATCCCAAGTTTTGGATGAAGTTTTGCATGAACCCTAGCTATGGAATCAAGTTTGAGAAGTTGAATTTTTAGGAATTTCGAATCTGTAAAGTCTCAGACCGCTAGAGCGAAGATGTTTGACATCCAGTATTTTCATTTACAGACCTGAGTTCTGAGAAACTAAGTTCACCGCTCTATCACCGCTCAAGGAGACATCCTATACCAGCCAGATTTTGAAAATTTCCTTATGTTCATATTTTCTTTCTTTTCTTTTTCCTAGCATCTTTAGACATAAATTACATCTAATTAAGTGTTAAATAAGCTAGAAATTAACATAAGTTAATTGATTAGGAAAATAAAGTAAGAATTTAATTAAATTAATTAGAAAGGAAGAGTAGGTTCAATTAATTGTAATTTGTTACTGACGTTTATGTGTATATGCATCATGTAGGTCAGACCATCAGAATGCATTATTGGAATCAAGCCCATTGTGAGTAGTATAGTAAACTTATGTTTCTTAAAATTATGATTCGAAATGCAAACATATTATATGTTTATGAAAGCTAAGATATTATTTTTGTTATGAATAGACATCTTATATTTTTGTGTCATGTATTAAGATGACATCTTGGATTATGTTAGTTATTGGGAATTATGCCAATAACTCTTGTACTAACCGAGTTCTTTGCTACCTGTTGTGGAATATGTTCCATTCCGAAATGCTTTGAGAATGTTATCGCTATGTATATGCTTGCAAGTTCAATTTTATTATCATATGCAAATTATATTATGTTCAAAATGAGCTTGCGCTTGATTTTAATAAAGTTTATCGGTGTTCATTCATTTTCAGTTTACTGTATTACTATTCACTGGCTTTAGCTCACCTCTTTTCCCTATATATATATATATGTAGGTGAGTAACACGAAGGGCAACATTAGAGTTGCATTTGAAGATTCTTAAGATAGCCTTCTTGGAGTTGTCACTTGGGTGGAGTCTACATTATGAAATTGTGTCTTGTGAATGGTTGTATTTAATTTACTTGTGTGGGTAATGTAAACATGATATATATGTAATATTTTCATGTTAGTTACGCACTGCTCAATGGATAGGTTTGTTTTCTGATTAGTTGTTGTAAAATAAAAAAAAAGACACTTCCGCTTGTGGTCCCAGTATTCTATCAAACATTTGTGTTTTGTCAAAATAGGCCTTTAGTAATCTCAGATTACTGGCCGGTTATCTCTCTAACTCTTAGGGGCAGGTTGGGGACGTGACAGGAGACCTCCTTATATAGAGGAGATTGGAATATGTTGACTCAAAGAAGATTGATGTGTTGTGAACCAAGCTTTTTGCTGGTGAAGAAACCCATCAAATGTAGTCTGAAAGTGCTTTATATTTTGGTCTGAATTTTTTAGGAATAACTTAAAAAATATTTGAATCTAATTATGCCTTTCCCTTTGTATAATTGGTTATCATTACATGGTGCATACATTGGGTTGGTGGCCTTCCTTGGGATTGAAATTTTCTATTTTTATGGTTGTAAACATTGGTCTTCCATAAATAAATATGATCGATATTTAACTCATTTGTCAAATTACCCATTTTTTTTATTACCTAAGGATGTCAGGGGATGGGTGATGTGGGAGTCGATGAGCCATGATATGTTTGGCCAATTCAGGATTGGGAGTAGGCATCTTATGGGTTTATGTGATCATATAAGTGTTTTTTTTTTTTTTTTTCAAAAAATTGAAATATATTTTTTAAATAAATAAATAAATTGTAGTTTATGTGATCATATTCTAACATCTTATCTTCGTTATTTCAGAGTAATAAAAGTAAAATGAAGAAATACGGTTTGCAACTTAGGGTTCCACCATCCCAGCAAAAGAAGCATCCAGCAAGACCTCCCCTCCCACCTCCTCTTGGCTTCCGTGATGACGATGATGATGACATTGAGAAAGAGATTTCTCGCGTGATGACGATGAAGATGACATTGAGAAAGAGATTTCTCGCCAGGCCAGCAAGAACAAGGCTCTCAAGGATGTGAGCTGTGTAGAAATAGATATCTATTTTCAAACTGATTTCTTTTTTTCCCCCTATGTAATGTTTGTTTTCTCTCTTTCACTAGATTGAGGAGCAACATAAGAAAGCCTTGGAAGAGGACCCATCTGTGTTTGATTATGACGGAGTATATGATGAAATGAAAGAGAAAGCGGTTCGTCCTTTGGTGCATGATCGTCAAGAGAAAAAGGTAATCTTAAATTATTTGCTTCATATAAGCACTTATCAGAAGCATACCGCATTTGTACTTTTCATAATTTAAACTGAATATTTGGTTTATATTTTAGAATTTAGATCACAAAATCTTGGGAATTGATTTTGAAGAATTAAATCATAATCAATTTGAAAAGTATCCTGAAGTTAATAGGCAGATTCATGATTACTCATTACTTCATTTTGTTTTAATTTCCTAAGTTCTTCATCCTTTTGTTTTGCAACGGAAGTGGGGAGATGGCATGATGATGAATCATTACTCTATTAAGGCGGTGTTTGGGAACAAATTTTTTAGGTTTTTTTTTGTTGTTTTTTTCCACTAAAAGACAAATTGGTTACAAAACCAAAAAAAAAAAAATTCAAACAAAATATCACATCAAACTCCATAATCATTTCACTTTTTCTCTTATAAACATCACATCCAACCACAAAAAAACCCAACTATCTTCCCAAACACAAATTTTTTTTTCTCCAATAATATCCTACAACTAAAAAAACCTACAAAAAAATCCACTTCCCAAACACCCACTAAGTTGGTAATGTAGTACGTTACAATTTGTCCAGTTATAATTAAATTTGATGAGAGACATAATAAATTTGACATGTGTAACCTTAGTACCATTATTACAACGACAAACCTGCTCAAAAATTGATGTCTCAACTCACCTCAACTCAACAAGCATTTGTCCCAGTTATTTTAGGCTGGCTACATGGATCCATTTCCTCTGGTTGGTTCTACTCAGAGTCATATCTTCAGTTAAGTTTTTGAGATGAACATGTCAATTTTTATGACGTCAACCAAGCAGTCATTCCTCTATTTCCTTGAGCACCCTCATGTGACTCTTCCTCACAGTGTTAATTGATCTAAGATGCACATGGCCATATCTCTTTCTCTTAGAAGGGGCAAAATCTTTGTACAAAAGCTATAAGTTGTCAAAAAGGCTCAACAACAAAATTGAGCTCTTCTATAAAATCTACAATAGAAAAGGAAGATTAAAAAAGAAAAATCTTGTACACTAAAACTGAAATGTATGCAACAAACACATTTTGAGTGTATGTATTCCCAAATCCTTGTCTTCAAATGTGTATCTGTTTCTTTCTCCCCACAAGCACCACATGATTCCTAGCGGTGCCACCATCCAAGCTTTTGTCTTGCTTCTCAACCTACAACCACTACCTCAACACTCTAGCAGCCTCATAATTGTTGCGGGAATCACCCAACAGACCTAAAAAATTGAGAACAATAAATTCCATAGTTCCTTGGTAAGATCACGATGAAGCAACAAGCTGTCCACTGTCACCTCCGCCTATCTTCAATTGGTGTGTTACTTCTAACTTCTTCCTAATGAATCCATTTCTTATTTTATATTTTCTTGCAACACCGTTCATCTGTAGCATTCTAATATGAATACACTCATTTCAACCACTACATGTACTATTGTTCTTTATAAAAAATTAAACTTGGACATGCTTCGGACACTTGGAGGACACATTCACGTGTCAGTTGCTTAGACATACAAAATAGATTACAAAGTTTGAACAAAATAACTTAGAACTAATGAATAAAAAAAATAACATAGGTTTATATGCATTGATACATCCTCCTTGAAACTTAAGAAATTTGTGTTGTGTTGTGTTGTATTTTTTTTTTTTTTGGTTTTACTTTGAATGAAATATTTATAGATATGACATAAATATAATAAATATATAAAACACTATGGGTTCGTTTGGTTTGTGTTTGTGAAAAATTTTTGGAAAATTTTCTTTACAAATAAATTTTTAAAAGTAATCAAACCAAACAAATTTTTTCAAAAAAATTTCTCAAAACTTATAAACCAAACAAGTTTTCCAAACAAATCTCTCTTTCACACACATCAAATCAATTACTTTTTTCAAAACTCTCTCTCAAAATAATTTTCCAAAACATCTTTTGAAAAAAACCAAACCAAACAACTTTTCGTACTTTTTATCTCTAAAACATATCTCTCAAACACAAACCAAACATACCCTATGTTTTGGGCATAGCCCTTGCGTGTCTGCCATGCTTTTTTTTAAAACTTGTCGTGTTGGCATGTCCAGGTTGTCATGTTATGCGTTCATGTTCTACTTTTAACTTATCTTCATCTTCTTCTCTTTCTTCTTTGTAATTCTCTATATATGTATGCCTTTGAACTCTGTAGTCAGATCTGTTTTAGTTCCTAATTCAACCCTCAAGCATCATAGTTCCTCAACCCTGGCACTCTGACTTGTGAACATAAAAGCTGCAAGGATACTGTTCACAGTGCTCATAACAGGCCCCAAACAGTATCAAAACCTTGTGATTTTATTCTAAAACCTGTATATGCTTTTGTGAACCTAATACAAACCCTTCAAACTCATATTGTTACTACTTTTTCAACTACAAAACCCAACGAAAACCAGCCCCCCAAACCTAGTTTTTCTGCTAATGAACATTAATTTTGGGACTACTAGTGGGAGAGAGTTCCCCTTAATTGTCTTGCAGTTACATCATAATTTCTCTAATGGGAATGCAACTCTCACTGGTGGGTGATCAATCTGATGTAAGATAAATGGTGATATGGGCTATTTGGTATTCAGTACTTTCTTCTATTTTTCTTTTTCCCGTGTGAGGAAAAGAAGCAAGCTGTGAGTTTGTTTCTTTTTTATTCACTGTCCTTTGATACTTACCAAGAAAAATAAAATTAAAAATTGATGAGCCCTTGATTTTCTGTTGCAGCCGAAGTATATTCAAGCATTGATTGATAAAGCAAAAAAACGCGAGCGAGAACAAGAGATAATATATGAGAGAAAACTTGCTAAAGAGAGAAATAAAGAAGACCACCTCTATGCAGACAAGGACAAGTTTGTTACTAGTGCTTACAAAAAGAAACTTGCAGAGCAAGCTAAGTGGATGGAGGAGGAACGTCGGCGTCAACTTCGAGAAGAGAAAGAGGATGTATGTGTAACTTTCTGTTTGGTCTTCTTGTGATCTAACTTGCAGTTATTTTGCTGATCAACTAGCTACATGATCTTCTGCATGTTTTCATGTCTGGTTGAGTTTAAAGGAACTTATATGTTAATCTGTGGTAAATTTTAATTTTGTTTTAGATCTGTTTTTGTAGGGATTGGTTATCTAGTACATTGCATGAACATTTGAGAGTAAAGAATACGTTTTTTTATGGGAAATTTGATTATCTGGGCTGAACTTTACAATAGCTGAAATCCTATGTACCTGAGAAGTTTTTACACAAATTGAATGTTCTAGGGTCATTAGGCTTGCTGCTTGGTTATCTTCATTTGTTTTTATGATAGTAAATTTGGAGAAAGGAAGATAGATTTCTAACTGCAAAGCATTTGTGTTGCTCTTACGAAGGTTAGAAAATCATTTTAAAGCACATACATTGATATTGTGTGTTTGGAACTTAGAACAGACTTCACTATTTGTCCACTGGGTTGAGTAGAAAGTTTTACATGTTACCTGGTGTAACAGGATTGGGCTAGACTTGTGTACATGTATTATTACTATTACTACAAAAGAACAAACTTTCTCCATTTAAAATTTTGTACACTTCTTTTAGATTGGCATATTGTATAAATCCAAGTAGCATGTGCACACCTGAGGGTAAGTCTTTGCTTATGCTGAGCATGGTTCTGATGTGTTCACTAATTCAAAATATATAAAAGTTAGAACAAGTTGCTAGGGTGGCACCCCCTTGCGCTAAACTTAATGGATATCATGCTTCCTTTTTTCATTCATGATAATAAACAGTTACCTTTACCTTTAAGAATTAGTTCAAAATTGTATGAAAACATTGATTTGTAAAGCTTGCTTTTTACAGTAACTTCCATGGTGGATGAAGATACAAATGTTTTTCTCGCTTTCTCATGGGTGTGAATTTTGTTTTTTGTTTTTTATAGTGCATGTGTGTGTGTGTTGGGGTTGAGGGAGATGTTGAAATTAAAATGCACCACTTTTTCTCTGCTCATCTTTAAAGATTAGCATGCTGAATTTGTTCTGTGTGTCTTGTACGTCTCCTGTTCTGGTTCTTCATATATATATATATATATAAATGTTCATCATGTACGTAGGTCCCCTTTTTGGTGCTTTAAATATGTCTTTTTTGAGCCCATATCAATTTTGAGAATTTTTTTAGGAAGTTATGGGGGAAATGGTCTTGAGGTTTACAATTTCAGCTTCAATAGAGTACTATAAAGATGATTGGTTTTGTGTCATATGCAGTTATCATTGATGGTCAATGATGGAGTTTGTTAATCTATTTTTAAGTTGAAATGTTAACAAAGCAACATAACTGCAAGCAATCTCACATTCTTGTAAAACTATTACCAGAGTAAGAATGAAATCAGGGAAAACAAAAACATACATACATACATACATATATATATATATATATATATATAGAGAGAGAGAGAGAGAGAGAGAGGGAAGAACTCAAGACTTTATTCTGTGTGAACTGCAACGAGATAAGGGAAGGTATTTTTTGCCTGGAAGATCTTTAGGATTCTTTTTTCTGCATAGTTGTCTTGGTGACTTCTATGTGAATTCTGTAGACGGGGATTTTCTTATAGTCCACATTATTCCCTTGAAAGTACTTGCCGATCTTTGTGAGAGAACTAAGTTATTGGTAATCTCAGTGGTTAAAATCTATAGCAAGCAAGAGTTAGGATGGGTTCCTCAAAAAAAACTCTGCATTCATATAGATGTAGGCACACACATCCATTATGACTTGTGCTGAGAATTGTGTTCATGTGGATTCGTGATCATGGCATGCTAGTGGGTATAGTGGATTTGAATAGTTTCAAGGAATATTGAACATACGGATTTAAGGTCAGAACAACAAAACTGGCTATAGATTTGAATAGGTGTGATCTTTGTTTCAGTCTTGTGTTCTTGTAAACTTGGTTTGTTAGCTAGTGGATGATTGTAAGTATTTTCCCCATTCTAATTAATTGTCTTCTACATGTGTGATTGCTTATTAGTTATTACATCGTGGATGAATTCTCTTACTCCTTGCAAGTTTAAAGTTTCAATTAATTTAAATGCTCATGCCTTTATCAAAATCAAGCGTCTGGTCATCGTTTCTTGAGTTAAAATTTATTTTTTATTCTAAAATAATTCACCACACTATATTTGCACATTTCACAGTGTTGGCTTCTCTTTATGTCCAATTTTTTTTTTTTCTTTCTTTTTTTTTTTCTTTTTTTTTTTTTGGGAAGCCTGGTAATTTTGTTATATTGTCTTTGTTCTGTAGACTTCTCGTCTGTTTTTTAACAATATATTTTCTATTTTCTGTCTGAAAGGTTACCAAGAAGAAAGACATGACCGACTTCTACTTCAACCTATCAAAAAATGTTGCTTTTGGTGCCCAAGATGCTGAAACAAGCAAATCCGAGAAGCAGCAAAAAGAAGAGACTCTTAATGCATCTGAAGAAGGACCTCAATTAACTAAGTTGCCCTTGGAGTCTACCAAACTAAGAGAGGAATATCAAGGTGAGGCTTCTAGCCAGCCTGAGGAGAGATCCGAGTCCTTAGTCGCAAAGCCAGTTCTCGATGCTTCCACAGAAGCTGTACCTGAACAGCCCTCAACAGAGCAACCAAAATGCGATCATCATAAGAGAAACGAAGATGCAGTCGCTGCAGCTAAAGAACGGTTTTTGGCACGGAAGAGGGCAAAGTAACAGTGGTCGCCGGTTTATTGTCCCAAAAACAGAGGAAGCTACCTTTTACTCTCTAGCAGGTAATTTTTAATGCCTTTGGGCCATTGTAAGAGTCTCTAGTCATCTAAAACTTAAAAGTCATGAAATCAATTTTTACTTTGTAAAATGTAGTGTTTTTTCTTAATACCAGATTTGTCTTGATATACCTTCTGTGCCAAACTGTGTGCTTAATCTATAACAACTGCAAACAGGGGGACCCGCCAGATATGTATGATTTATGATTATCGGGGTCAATGCAATTTTTTTAATAATAATCTGTGAATGTTGATAAAATAAATGATTTAAATTATCACAGCGAGAAATTTAATGAAACCCAATTGCGGTGTGTGAAATGTGGACAAGTCAAAACTTGGGTCTTGAGAACACTAACCAAGAGTAGCAAGTAGTAGTAGTAAGCAGTAGCAGAAGAGACTGGAGCAGGTGGTCCCCAGCTTGGAATGAAAATGACTGTTAATGTGCCCAGACTGAACCATGTGCCAATTCTCCTCCCAACAAAAAATAAGTGTGGGGAGGGGCCCCATATACACTCACACCCCTCCCTCCCTCTCTCTCTCTCTCTCTCTCTCTCTCTATATATATATATATGTTGATTGAAATCAAGTGATCATCAAAGTACCAAAGACTTTTTAATAGTTTTTTGAAGGGAAAAAGACAAATGGAAAAAGAGAATATATATATATATATATATTTCATTTCTTCTCATATCATTTTTTTATATGGTTTTAAATATCATTGCGCTCAAGATATTTGATACATCCTAGTATATTGTTTCATGACTCTATACAGTTGGTTTGATTTGATTGTTATAAAACTCTTTTGCAAATTGCAACAAATAATTTTAAAAAAAATTCAGGTCTTTCCAATACGATATTGTTACACTCTATTGATACCAATTTGTCTCTACATTTTGTTATTTTAAATTTCTTTTCACCTCTCCTTTACTCTTCCTCTATAATTTCTCTATAAATTTAACGTTCAAAATAACTTAAAATTATCTCTGCCAATAAAATTCCACAAGACTCGTGAAAGCCTCTTTTTGGTCTGGTTGTTCAAGTTCATTCAATTTTTAATTAATTGCGAGTAGTTCAATTTACCAGAATCCTTGCTAATACTATAATGATAATATTTTGTTATACCATATTGGGTTTATTATTTCATTTATTATCAATATAGTGATGATAGATCACACAATAAACTAAATATGATACAAATACATAGTTGTTGTAGCATTACTCATTTTTGAAAATATTTATTTAAACATTCAAAGTTAGGTAAAGAGAGAAAGACTGCTTCTTATGAAATACATAGGTCAGATAACAACCGGCGATTATTGTCAACCTTCTAATTGGTACCAAGCTTTGGCAACCCTAGCGACACTCTAGCCACGAAACTCTAATGATCACCTTAGGCCACCCTATCAACGACCGTCACATTCATCCACCCTTCACTCCAGTTACTATACGTCACAATTCACCAAATGTATTTAATTTCAAACTATTTTTTGTATGTCAAATTTTTGTTTTATTTTGTATAATTTAAAAATAGAAAACTTTTACAACATCATTAGAACGAAACCTTAGCCATGGTTTGGTATAAACTAAAATGAGACTTTTTGGCTGAAATGAGGTTTTTTGACTAAAATAATTACAAAAAAAACAAAATAAACTTTTTAATCTAATAAGACAAAATGTCACATCCAAACCATAATTATTTATTTTTTCTCTCACAAAACTTAAAAAAACCAAAAAACTTATTCCAAATGAGATTTTTTCACTCCAAATTAAAATAGTTAAAATGTTAAAAAGTCATCTTTCATACCAAACGAACCATTAATTTCTTTCAATAATCCTTCGCAGCTCGAATCTCTCTTCCCCGAATCCCCTAACTGTTCAAAACGGCAGTTTTTTTTTTTTTTTTTCCTTCTTTTCTTTCTTCCTTCCTTCCTTCCTTCCTTATGTCTGAAACAGATAGAAGAGTGAAGAAGAGAAAGACAAGAGAGGGGAAGAGGGAATGGAGAGAGAGAATCGATCGCCTCCGCCTCCGCCTCCGCCTCCGCCTCTGCCTCCGCATCTCTCTTTCGAGCTACGTAGCACAACTGAATTTCTTTATCAAAGCAAGTGTAGGTGAGATGAAGATGACATAACAAAGGTTGACATCACTTCATTAGTACCAAAGCTTAACGTGACTTCTGTCAACTTTAGTGTCTCTCGGTCTTACAAGCGAAGTCACAAAATTAAGAACTGCCACACACAATAATGCATATTAGATCAGAGCTATCATTGGAGCTGGAAAGGTGAATTTCTGGACCAAAATGCCAAAAGAGAGGGTCCACAACTGCATACACAGAACAGTGGCCTAATTAATAATATTGCAATTACTAATGTTGGTGGTGATATGTGGCTGTATTGTAGGTGCATTTAACCTTATATATATATTTTATATATTCATCATCATCATCACATGAGCCTTGCTTTGATCTTTTTGGAAATATTACACACCCACAGACACAATCACATCATCATCACATGAGTGCTAGGGGCTCACTTGTTAATGTTTATGTCTTATTAGTACACATTTAATAACTCGTTATCAATAACCAAATACACTATATAATAATTGGTTGATTATTCTGTGAAATGATTATCCAAACAACCGTGATTTATTCCTTAAAATTAGAATTCTAATTGAGCTTTAATAATGTAAAAAAAAAAAATTAAAAATCAAAATATCAAAATATCACACCAAATAAAATCTACCCACAAATTAGTTGTTTGGTTTGGTTTTTAAGAAATAAATTTTGAAGAAAATTTTTTAAAATTTTGTTTGGCTTAGTAATTTTGGAAAAAAAAATTTCAAAATTACTTTCTATCTCTTACACATCAATCAATCATTTTTCCTCTCTCATCTCTTCTTCTCAATCACTTTTTCTCACACACACATCTACTCAACTAGAACAAAAATATCAAATCATTCCAAACTCGTATACTCCAAAACTATTTCTAAATATACAACCCAAACAAACCAAAAAAATTTATAAACTCTTTCTCCAAATTTTTTTTTAAAATTATCTCCAAAATCAAACCAAACACACCCTAAAACTCTCTCCCTTGAGCTCTCAAACATTTCTTCTCCAAAATAAATAAAGAGCTGTGCTTCAGACTCCCAGTGGGAGTCGCACCCCAGTGACGTGGTAGCATGGGATTGGCAAAAAATATTAAAAAAAAATAAAAAAATAATTTTTTTTTAGACCAATCACACGCGACCCCCAGTGCCCACCACACGCGATCCCCAGTGCCCCACTAGGGTCCGAAGCTTTTTCCATAAATAAATAGACTCCCTAGAGGCTAGAGACAGAGGTGTCATTTCCTCAGTCATAGGCCATGTGAATTGAAAAATAAATAAATAAATTACACTAAGCTTAAAATTCTGAAAAAATATAATTAATTTTATAATTTTAATATAATTATATTAATATCTCTTTTAATAAGATTAAATCGACAAAAACTAATGCAAAAAATGTGTAAATAGAAAAATAAACAAAGTGAAATATATAATTCAATGTATAAAAGATAATAATATAATTTTTCTGTCCATACACAACAAAATATTGGTAGAAAAATGTTGTGTGAAATCTTAAAAAATAATTCAATATAATAAAAGTAAATTACGCTGACTTTCCTTAAAATTTGTCAAAAGAAATTTGACATAATTTTTACAAAAAAAAAAAAAATTATTAAAGACAAGATAAAATTAATTAAAAAAAAAAAAAAAAAAAAAAAAAAAAAGACTATCATCCATCACAAAAAGTTCATAAAGTCTAGGGAGAAAGCTCACAGTGGGGTCAAAGGAACTATTTTCCCCTTGATTTTAATTTTAATTTTTTTAAAAATATAAATAATAAATTTTTATTTCAGAGAAAGAATAATTTATTTTATTTGAGATAAAAAAAGTACTTTCACTATATTAAAATTTGTTTAATTTGATATTTATGAATTATTTTTAAATAAATTTTCATTTATCTTTACGGAATAAAATGTGCGCGATGATTATAGGATCATTTCACAACATATATATGGTCCCTTGACTTTTCAAAAGATTGGCACTGCCTGCTTATATTTTATCTAATTCTCACTTTACAAAATTACATGCATCACTTTTTCTTCTCTTTGCATCAATTTCTTTTTTCATTTTGTCTCTTTCATAGCCTCCATCAATTTAAAAATGGCTACAATTGCACATTTTCAACTTGTCTCATATTCATAATTTAACCCCAGAAAAAGAAAAAAAGATAGATGAATTCCGTGATCACGAATCAGTTCGATTGATATATTATTTGATATGTATTAAAAAATAAAATTTCAAAAGTATTCAAATATAACAATAATTTAGACCACTAAAAAATACACCACTAATAACACTAATGCATTAGGAATGACAAAAAAAAAAAAAAAAAAAAAAAAAAAAAAAACAAAAAAAACAAAAAAAAAAAAAAAAAAACAAGACATAGAAAGTGGGCGGGACCCACTGCCACATCATTAGTGTTTTCCCTAGTACTTCCAAACATTTTTCATTCAAATGACCGTGAAGTGAGATTTCAATTTCAATCAATAAAATGATATTTTCTTCTTAATTTTTAATTTATCATATAGGAAGAATTGTTCAAATAATGTAAACAAGTACATATTAAATAATTTAAATGTGTACAGATAAAATAATTCAAACAAGTCACATTGCATCAACTTCACTTATAAAGTTAGGATAAACAAATAATAAGTTTAAATGCATAGAAAATTAAACATAGAATAAAATATGTCGACAATGTGCAACTTATATGTGGACATAGAATGAGACACAAATGTTTCACGAGAGGTGAGACCTACATGATGTGAGACTTACATGTGGGACTCATCATTTGTGAAACATTTTTGTCTCATTCTATATTTTGTTTTTGTATTCTGCGTTCCTAACATTGCTCTTTACAAATCAAAACCCGATTAATTATACAAAATTTTTACTAGTCATATTTATGCTATATATTTTTTTGAGCAATGCTACATCGCCTGAATTTTGGCTTACCTAAATCACTTGAATTTTAACTTTCCAACCGTCCAACCGATCATCTAGCAACAACGTGACAACCGCGACCGATAAGGCTGACAACCGCGGTAGATAAATGTTTCACCGGTCATTCAGGTGGTCGTCCGGCCAATCCACCCACATGTACAAATTCAAACGTTCGGACAAACTCAAATTCATGCTACCAATCATTTTTAATTTTTTTTTGTTACCCCCCTATTTTTAATTAATTTACAAACTTACCCCCTGAATCTCATTCACCGTCAAAGCCCATCTCTGGAAACCACTCTGAAGCACATGCACACAAAGGACAGTGGTGTTGCTTCACGATGGCACTGTTTCATTTCCATCAACATCACCCCCAACCCCCCAATCCAATCTCGCATTGTCCCATCCCATGCTCTCTCGCTCTCTCTCTCTCTCTCTCTCTCTCTAATTAAAAACACAACTAACTCGAAAGCACAAACAGTCGCGACAATACTCTTTTTGAATCAAAAAAAGTCGCAATAATACTCTTCAGTCTCACACAAAAGACCATGGCTTTTTCTTCTTCAACTTCAACTTCTTTGCTCTGTTTTCTCTTTATACTTTCTGTCTCCTCAATCACTTCCTCATCACCGACCACCACCACCACCACCACCACCATCCCTCTCTCCCATTTCCACCCACACCAATCTCCACCAGATCCATACTCAAAACTCAGCCACCTAGTAACCCAGTCCATTTCCAGAGCCCATCACCTCAAACATCCCCAAATTGCTTCCACCACCACGCCTATCTCCGCCCACAGCTATGGAGCCTACTCCATCCCTCTCAGCTTCGGCACCCCTCCCCAAACCCTACAGTTCATCATGGACACTGGAAGCGACGTCGTTTGGTTCCCCTGTACCCACCGATACCAATGCAATAATTGCTCCTTCCCTGGCTCCGACCCATCTGGGTTTCCTCTCTTCATTCCCAAATTGTCCTCCTCCGTCAAAATTCTTGGATGTTCCAACCCCAAATGCGGTTGGATTCACAACACCAATGTCACTAACTGCCAAGATTGCAAACCCAATTCCAAAAACTGTACCCAGATCTGCTCACCCTACTTGATTTTCTACGGTAGCGGCACCACCGGAGGATTCGCTCTCGTCGACACCCTCGATTTGCCAGACAAGAAGGTCCCGGGCTTCGTCGTCGGCTGCTCACTATTCTCCTCCCGCCAACCCGCCGGAATCGCCGGCTTCGGCCGAAGTCCGGCGTCGCTGCCGAGTCAACTCGGTCTCAACAAATTCTCTTACTGTCTTCTCTCTAGAAAATTCGACGACTCCACCGCAACCACCGGACTCATTTTGGAAAGTGGGTCAGATTCCGCAGAAAAAACCGCCGGCGTCAGCTACACTCCGTTCGTCAAAAACCCAATTGTCGCCGGAAAAGCTGCTTTCTCTGTCTACTACTACGTGGGTCTCCGGAAAATCACCATCGGAGGCAAAAAAGTGAAGATTCCGTACGAGTATTTATCACCTGGACTCGACGGTAATGGAGGAACCGTCGTCGATTCTGGGTCGACCTTCACGTACATGTCGAGCAAAGTCTTCGATCCCGTTCTGACCCAGTTCGTAATTCAAACAAAGGGGTATTCGAGGGTGTTAGAGATTGAGTCTATGATCGGTCTCAGACCGTGTTTCAATGTCTCCGACACACAGAAGGTGAAGCTGCCGGAAATGATGCTTCACTTCAAGGGCGGAGCAGAGGTGGCGCTGCCGCTGGAGAATTACTTCGTGCTGGCCGGAGATACTGCGGTGTGTTTGGCGGTGGTGACGGACGGCGTGACTGGTCCGGCAGGGGAAGGAGGTCCGGCGGTGATTTTGGGGAATTTTCAAATGCAGAATTTTTATGTGGAGTATGATTTGAAGAATGAGAGGTTTGGGTTGAGACAACAAGATTCTTGCAGTTGAAAGTAATTATTGGGAGTTTGGGAAAATTCACAATAACATATTTATCAATTTGAACCCTTTATTTTAATTGGGAATAAATTTTGCAGATCGTTAATTCGTATGAAGATTGTGATTTGTGTAATCTAGGAGAGTTCTGCAACAATGCCAACCCTGAAATGACTACTCCATCTGTTTATTATGTTTTAATTATCATGGAAAGATTATGATACACACTTTCAGATGATATATGTGCTATATAATTAAAAAATAAAATGATGTAATTTTATATTTTTTTAGATACAATTAAAAAAATAATCATAATAAAATATCATATGAGGTATAATTAAAAATCTTATGAGTTATAAATAAAATATTATCATAATTAAAAAAACAAAATAACATAATTAAAAATATATATGATATATAAGGATGTATATAGTAGAATTTTTCGCCATGTATTACAATTATGTTGGAGAATACTATTATATGCACTCATATACTATGCATCTTTAGTTTTGTGATTTTCTTTTTTAGCTATGATATTATTTTAAAATATTTAACTATAACTTTCTTATATTTGATTATCATTTTTTTTATAATTATGATTCAAAAAGTAAAAAATTATGTCATTTTTTATATAATTATAAGTACATACACTACACACCTTTTGCCTCCGTTTGAAAAGTGGATTGACTTTTTGGCTTTTTAGTTTTTTTGACTATTTTAACCTGAACTAAAAAACTTGGTTTGGAAATTACTTTTTGACTTTTTTTTGTAAGAGAAGAGTGTAATGATTATAGGTTGGATGTGATGTTTTATTTGTTGTGACTAAAATAGCCTATTTTATTTTTTGTAACTATTTTAACCACAAACCAACCTGCTAAACACCTTATGCCACATCCTTTTCCCAATGGTGTTACTTCTACATTTAGGGCTTAGGTCTCGTTTGGAAATAAATTATTTTAGTAATTTTTTAGTTCTTTGATTAAAATATGATATAAAAATTAAAAAAAAAAATTAGTAACTTTTTAGCTTTTTTAACTAAAATATGATGTAAAAAAATTAATATGTTTGGGATAATTTTTTAATTTTTTACGAAAAAAATGTGCAAAAAGTAAAGAAGAAATGAAATCTTTGACTTTTTTGTATAAATTATTAGCTTTTTAATTTTTTTAGTGACTTTTAAACTTTTAGATTAAAAAATAATATTGCCAAACGAGGGCTTAGGACTGTTTAGATCTCCCAAATAAGTCACCTTTTTCTTTTTAATATATATATATATATATTTTAAAATATATCATTTTAAAAAAAAATTCTGATCTGTTTTATGTAGACAAATCTACAAAAGTATAATTTTTTTAAACAATTCTATAAAAAAAAATTTAAAAGTCAAAAAATAAGTCAACAAAATTTACGATTTTTTGTTTATTTTTATCTTTTCTAAATTATTTTGAATTTTTTTTTAAATTAAGATTTTGGTTCATCTAATCCAATAAAATCTAAAAAGTTTAAACTTCCTAAAAATTTGAAGAAAAAAATTCACACAAAAATAAGGTAACAAAAAAGTCACTATCAAAGCAATCCACAAACACCACTGGTTATATGTCAAGTAAGTTGGACAATATTGGATATTTTTTATTATACTATTTTCATGTGTACAATTCTGTTAAATTTTTTACTATGTTTTCAAATACAATAGTTAGGACCCAATTTTTTCTATATATTTTTTTTTAATTAGACTTTTTTCTTTCAGTAACACTAGCTACTAAAAGTTTCATTTTTTTTAAAAAAATGATAAATTACAAATATACCTCTTGAGATTTGCTTAAAATACGAATTGCCTCCTGTGATTTGAAAAATTATAAATATCTCCCTTTCAGAATTTTTTATTTAGCAGAATTAATTGAAAAAAGTAAAATTTCTATCTGTTCATCTATACAATAATAACATTATTTGAATTATTAATTAAAATAAAATTTTAACATTATTAAAAACTGTTAATTAACTTGATAATTTATTAATAAAGTGACCTATTTGTTAAGAAATTAGAAACCTTAGGGGCATAATGTAATTTCTAGAACCACAAGGAGTAATTTGTAATTTAAATAAATCTCAGGAGATATGTTTATAATTTACCCTAAAAGAAATGTGTGGATCTAATTATTTACTTTTGGGGAACTCACCAATAGGTATAAAATTCAAATAAAAACTGTTAATTAACTTGATAATTTATTAATAAACTGACCTATTTGTTAAGAAATTAGAAACCTTAGCGGCATAATGTAATTTCTAGAACCACAAGGAGTAATTTGTAATTTAAATAAATCTCAGGAGATATGTTTATAATTTACCCTAAAAGAAATGTGTGGATCTAATTATTTACTTTTGGGGAACTCACCAATAGGTATAAAATTCAAAATCTATTTAATTTCAAAACAAAATATTTGTACTAATTAGTTTTATATATTTTTAATTGTTATTAAAAAAAATTTAAAAAAAATTAAAGACGCTGTTGCATGCCACTATTGCTGTACTTCCGTTATTACAGACTCGCCGGAATGTTCAATATCATTGGGAAGTTACTAGAGTATCGCTGGTAGGAATCGTCACAAATCAGGTTTGAGACGGGTTTATAAAATCTGCCCCCGCCTTGTATCATATTGGAGGTGGGGCAAATTGGGGGTAATGGGTGCGGGGTGGAAAGCGGGTTAATTTTGTAAGTTGAAAAATGAAAAAGTTAATAAAAATTATAAATAATTTAATATATTACAAATAATAATTTATAATTAATGAGAATTATATTATATAAAATAAAAAATAAAATTAATAAAAATTAATATTAAGTATAATATTTTAGTATTTTAATTTATTATAATAAAAAATTCGAGTGGAACGAGGCGAGGGAAACAAAACCCTTCCCCACCCCATTTCTTAGTGGGAAATTTTTTTTAAAATCCATGATATTAAAATTTTATAAGATAAATGATATACAATATTTTCATTGTAGTTGGGGTTCCTCAACATTTTCATAGAGAAAATTTGGCTATGAGAAATTTGTGCCAGAAAAATTTTGACATCGACACAGAAATTTCAATTTTCACAGAGAAATATTTCTCTAGTATGATCATAGAGAAATTTCATCAAAGAACTTTAGCTAATAAAAAAATATATCTTAGACCTCTCTTACTACATAAAATTGGAGAGAGATATTTCACTAATTTTTCCCTTCTTAATCGGGGTGGGAAAAATGACCATCCATAATTGTTGAAAATTCATTAGAGTGTTATAGATGTCACTGGAAGTCACCGGAATGTCCAAAACGTTCGCCGGACGTTAAGAATATCACCTGAAACTTACCGGAATGTCCAGAATATTGTCAAAAAAAAGAATAAATGAAAAAATTAGAACGAAAAAATATTACAAAATGCGTTAAATATTGATAAACTGAAAGGAAAAAAAAAACCAGAAATAAGAAGCAACAACAACAATAACAATGGAAAAAAAACAAAGTTATTTTTAAATTTTTATAGGGTTTAAGTAAATAATTTTCTATATTGATCAAACTAAAAGCAAGCTTTGAAACTGTAAAATTGTTACAGTTTCAAAATATGATTCTATTAAGCATTTCTTCTTATTAACCAAACTTAAAATATGTTTTGAAACTGTAACAATTTTACAATTTTAAAGCATGATTAATTTCAATACTAAAAAATAAAATAAAATTGAAACTAGAAAATTTTAGTTTAGTTTCCATTGCTTGTAATTAAAACTCGAAAAAAATTTGTTCAGAAATTGAAAATTTTATCTATTAAAACAGAAAAAAAGAAATGTGTAAGATAGAAAAAGTAGAAAAACTAAGAGATCAAAGAAGAAACAAATATAAAGAGAGGATCTAATGTAAATTTGAGAAGATCTACATCAGATTTACTCATCTTCTTCGTTAGAAACTCATCTCCTTCGCTATTGGTGAGGGGCGAAATAAAGAGTCGGTTGTTGCTGGTGAACCTCAATCAATGGTGATCACCGATAATTATATATCAAAAAGAGAAAGAGAAGAAGAAATACATGATCATCAATCTTCAAATATCAAAAAGAGAAATAAAAAGAAGAAAAAAAGCGCACAAAACTTTTAAGTCTATCCAAATAATTTTAGATTTAGATAAAACTATATCCCTTTCAAAGAGGATATACGAGTAATTTGCCGTTACTTTTTGTCAATTTTTAAACTTTGGAATATGAGTACGGCTGCATAGTTGAGCTAAATATCCGACAAGGAGGTACATTGGGCCATCACATTTCCTACAAATTGCATGAGAGAGACCCAGAGAGCACATTGGCCAACATCACATTCTTGTCTTTCACCCCCGCATCCAAATGCATTTACCCACGAGACTTCTTTCTCATTCTCAAATTGTTGAGCACTCATTGCTGGAAAACAGTTGGGGCTGGCATCCTTCCAAGCCCTGTCTATTATGAATTTCATTTTGATATTTTAAATAATTTTTTTATTTACTTATATAAATCACTAAAAAAATAATTCGATAATTGTAGCATATTCATTTATTACATTTATCTTAAAAAAAAAAATGGATAACAAATTAATTTTGAAAATAGACTATTTATTTTTTTAAAGACAAACATGATAAATTGAACATACTATGATGATCAGATTGAATTAATTTTTTTGTTGGTGATTCAAATAAAAAACCTTACAAAATGAACGATTCAGATTATTAAATAAAATATACGTGATAAAACTCATGGATCCAGACAACATCCTCCAGTTTAGATTAGATTGGAGATAATCTAAACCCAAAAAGTTATAGCCAAATAGGTCTACAAGTTTTCAAAAAGGATATTTTGCACAAAAAAATATCTAACAAATTATTGTGCGGTCTAAATTTGATTTACATAATATGGAACCCACATGTAAATAAATATTTTTTTGATATATTTATGAGGATGAATAGGGATAGTTACGGGTCAAGTTTATCCACCTCTGCCCCGTTTCACACCGAGTGTAGGGCAAATTGAGGGTGATAGTAGCATTAATATTAAATATAATATTCTAGTAGAACAGGGTGAGGGGAAAATGCATATAAATATATTAAGTACAAGAATATTAAAATATATATATATATATATATATATTTACTAAATACAATCGGGATGAGATCCGGTAGAACGAGACTACGCAAGCAAGATCCGTCTCCAACCCAGTTCCTCAACAGAGCGGGAAAAATCGTGCGAGGCAGGGGAAAATGCTATCCATGAGGATGAATTTTGTATATACCTAGCATTCTTTTAGTGCATTGCCGCTCTTGGTAGGAGAAATTATTTTCTTGGTCTGGAGTATTAGTGTTTCACTCTACTAACACTAGTCTTACTATTTTAGCAAAAACTTCAAATAACAAAATATAATTTACTGGTGGTAGTTACTAGTTGGTATACCATTTTTACCATTAATGAGAATACTGGTGTGAGAGAAAGAAACAGTCAGTAAGTACTATGATAGAAATAACAATATTACAAATTTAAACAATACCCAAAAAAATATATCATTTTAGGGAGAACCCACATTTCATTAATTTTAAACTTATACCATACACCTCATTTTGGTATAAAATTCAAAACACACATTCAAGATATATAGCATTTCTATCAGAAAAAAGATAATAATAATAAAAGTTTGCTGTCATATAATCTCCAAAATGTCATTTATTCCTTTAAATTTTATTTTAATCAATTCATTCTTAAAATTTTAATAAAAATGCAAAGTGTACAAAATTAAAAATGTCATATACGATTAACATTCATCTTGCATGTGATGTAAGGCAACACTTGAAAATTGAAATAATATCCCAACCACACAATATATTTCATAATTTCTCGCTCTAATTTGGTGTACTTGACATTACCAAAAATTTAATTTGAGTCAAAAACAATTATATACAACTGTCTACATCATTAACAAAATAATAATAAAATTCAATAATGCTCCATAAAAAATGAGTTATATGTCATTTTGGTACCCAATATTTAAATTTAATTAATTTCAACACAAAAACAATATTTCCGCTTCTTGAGTACTCAAGTAACCATAACAAAATGACCATTTAAAATTAAAGATAAATTACAAATACACCCATAAGATTTGCTTAAAGTACAGATTGCCCACTGTAGTTTGTAAAATTACTAATAACTCATTGTTAGTATTTTTAATTTAACAGAATTAACTAAAAAAAAAAATTCATAATTGCTCTTGTACACAAAAATAAATTATCTAAATTATTAATTGAAACATATTTCTAACATTATTAAAAACCATTAATTGACTTGATGATTTATTAATAAAATGAATGATTTGTTATGAAATTAAAAATATCAAGAAGTAGAATATAATTTTCAAAACCATAAGGGACGATTCATATTTTAATCAAATCTCAAAAAGAGTGTATTTGTAATTTACCCTAAAATTAAAAAAAATCCACGTGACACCACTAAACAAAAAACATTATCATAAAAAAAACTCTCAAAACAGCCACTTCTTAGATAACACCCAAGAAAAAAAAAATTCCAATTTTCACAACAAAACTCAAAAAACCGTTACCCTGTGATCAATCATAAACAACTAAAAAACAACTGTTTGATTGTAAGCAAAGACTAACTTGTCTAAATTACCTAGAAGAGTACCTCTCAGTGGAAGAGGTCCTTGTGTCCCTCAAGTTCCAAGGGTCTGGAATGTATTGGGCTCTTCCATGGGCCTGCATTGATGGGCTGGCCTCCGGAGATTGATTCCGCCGCCACACTGGTATGTACCGGCCTCTTCCATGGGCCTGCATTGATGGGTTGGCTACCGGAGATTGATTCCGCTGCCACGTATGGCTTGTATTCACTGTCAAGCCCTGACCACATGGAGGGGCAGTCATTGGGCTGTTTCTAGATGGCCACAATTTGGTGTTGGCTGACTGAGCTCTTCCATATGATTTGAATCCTTGTCTTGAATCTGATATTCTCAGGTCCCCGATATCATGATCAAGTCTCTCGCCATGTCCAACTGGGAAGTTTGTAGAACTTCCAGTGTGTTCACTGGAACCATGATAAATATTGTTGTTCGGCTTTCCTCTACCCGCACCCCACCCTGAACCGGCACCTTTATGTATCAGCTCAGGAGATGACTTTGCTCCATTAATTGCATTTCTATGAAATCCTTGAATCTGTGCCCTTCTGTGAAATCCATGAATTTGAGCCCTACAAAAATCATCGTGGTCGATAAAAAAACGTAAAGAGTGAAACAAGAAAGTAGGAAGTATAAATCACAGCGAAAAATAATAGCAAAAAAAGGGAATTGAAAAAAACTTGTAATTGGGTCTGCTGCCCTGGCACTCGTGCCATAGTTGTGTTTCCACGATGTCAGCATCGTTTATTGTCTTGAAAATATTATAAAGAGTGTCACCACAAATAAAAAGTTGACGTAACAAGAAGAAACGAACTGAAACTGCCAATTGTATGATTAACAAACAGCACAAATTTAACCTACAGAGATCTTGCTCGAAGCAGGGTAAATGAATTTTTTTTTCTTATGGAGCCTAAATCATTGATGACATGCCTTAACATGTCATACATAATTATCAGAGCATTTTACAAGAAAATAGAATCGAAGATTTAATTATTACATTAGCAGATACGACAAAGATAATAAATGATGACTGATTAAAGTTTAACTAATCAACTTAAACATGTGATTTCAAAGACTAGTATATACCTTCTCCGGGGGTTGCACACCCTCAAGTGGACGAGGAATGTGTTGGCAGCCATTAGGTAACTCGTAAAGAACACATCTGCAAAATAGAATGGCAGAACAATTTAAATCAAGAACCTCCCAGCCCCTTCACAAGAGAAGAAAAAAAATATTTAATGAATTATTAAATTCAGCTGAAGTATAGTTTTTGACTTACAAAACATTGTCATTTCGGCTGTCCTTATCCTCCCGGGGGCTAATAAAACCACTGATTCCACATCTGGAAAAGAAGTACATATTGAGTGATTAGCTCATAAAAAAATTTAGATGTTTACTACAAACCGCTCACAAAAGAGCATAGATCATTTTGTTCCATTTCATGTCCCATCCTCTATCTCATTCTATTTTCATAGTTACGTCATCAAAATAGAAGACTAAAAATATCTCATTCTATTTTTATAGTTACGTCATCAAAATAAAAGACTAAGGCCTAGTTTGGGAAGACTAAATAAGTGCACTTTTTGACTTTTTATGAAATATGGGTTAGATTTGTGTTGGGTTTGAAGTGATGTGTTAGAGAGGTGATGTGACTTAAATAAGATGATGTGACTTAAATAGGATAGTGACTTTTTGACTTTGTCTTTTTTCAATCATGCCAAACTTGGCCTAAAAATATATGGGACAAAAGACGGTACAGAGAGTGGGAGAAATAACTCAATGCCCTCACAAAATTAAAATAGCATTAAATAAAAATATAGTGTGGTTGATTTCAAATTTCTGGATTCAATTTTCTGAAAATTGAGTTTTTTATTTTTTATTTTTCATATGTTTTTATTTTTATTTTTAGTGAATATTTTTAAAATTTTAAGCAATTCTTTTACTTTTTTAGATGCGCCTTACTTAGATGTATCTAAAAAAATAAAATAAAATATTTGTAAAAAAATATTTTAAAAAATCAACAAATACACAAGAATACTAAAATTTATTGAATTTTTGTATTTTTTTTGATATTTTTGGCATTTAGTGAATATTTTCAAGTTTTTTTTACAAATATTCTATTTTTTAAGTGTATTTATGCTAGATGTATATAAAAAATAAACAAATTACTTAAAATATTAAAAAAAAATCAGTGAAAATTAAAAAATATAAAAAATAAAAAATTTTAATTTTCTGAAAAGTGATTCCTAAAAAGTAAAACCAAACAAGCAAATTAGACACATAGTTTGCCAATGTTCTACATTTATGACCATCGGCGGCTATCCTATTTCGTCATGGCTTACACATAAGCTCCCTTCCCATCCCTGAAAACCCAAGAGAACAATCATAAGTTTTGACTAGGACGCACTAAGGCCTTGTTTGGGGTACTCTAAAAAAGTCAAAAAGGCAAAAAGTCAGCGGATCAATTTTTGCCCGTGTGGCGCTCAAACTCCACCAAGTTTAAGCCCGCCATAGCTCGTTGACAAATCGAGTGTTGATGATCTCACCCGTTTGAACATTAGGGCCCAATGCTTTGTCAAGCAAAATAACTTCACAAGGAAGCTCCGTCTTCACTCGGATGCCACAAGTAGGCCTGACGCCTCCAGTGCACCAAACACGGCATAAGTCGCTTCATAGCGCCAAGCATATCTCAAGCAAGGTGCTCGCCCAACTTAGGTTCATGTCGTCAAGGTGCCTAGCCACACAACAATGTGCTAGCAAAGGTCCCTCAACTTAGCCGACAAGCCAACTTGCATGTTGGGTCTTTAACAGCATCTCGAAGTGCCACATCTTATTTAAGTCACATCACCTCTCTACCACATCACTTCAAACCCAACCCATACCCAACCCATATTTCACAAAAAGTCGAAAAGTGAGCTTATTTAAATCATCCCAAACTATCCCTTATATTTAGACAAAAATCATACCAATAAAATCAATTTAAAGAATGTTAATCACATTAAACACTAGAGACAAGTTGTTCCACCCAACATTATAGACTACGGTGATGAGATTGATGTTGAACAAAATGTTTTTTTTTAATTGTTACAAGATTTTCATCAAATAAAACCTTGTCCTAACATAAAACGGTGTTCTAGTCCTAGATGCTAAAAAAACAAACTTTTGGGAACCAAACAATATATATAAAAACTTGGACCAAATATTTAAAAAATAAGAAACAGAGAGAGAGAGAGAGAGAGAGAGAAGATACTCCAAAATAAAATGATTCAAATTATAGCAATTGGGAATTGTGACTTAAATGTCAAAGCTTACTTGAAATTCTTATCTATCGATTCTTTGACCATTTCTATTTGTTTTCCCGCACACTGCTTTTCATTAAGGGAAAATATTTGAGATTGCAACACGTTAGAGCTTCTCACAAACAGATAATCAACCTTAGTCGAGTTCCTTAATTCTTCGTCGACCTACAAATAATTAATGACCGCTCAACATAAAATCAAAATTGAAGACAAACAAAACGTTAAGAAATGAGCAAAAATCACTATATCAAGAAAAGATTTTCATACCCCTAATTCCGCCACTAGTTTTTTCATCTGTGATAGTAAGCGTTCTTCATCTATAAAAGGAAGCTTGCAAATTGCCTACAAAGGACAACGATATTTTTGAAATATTACAATGAACCTTAGCGGTTTATGATAAATAACCAATGGATAAAATTAGATTCGAGGTATCATAAAAAAAATTAATTTAAGCGAATGAAGAAATATTAGCAAACCTGCCACATAAAACGTTTTCCATCTTCATCGAATTCAAAATCTACTCACGGAAGACATTAGCAACAAACAAAATACATAATCAACAAAATCTATCGTCTAATCAACAATGTACAACCAAATCAAATTTCTAAGCAAATAAAAAGGCCTTACCAGTAGGATAAAAATCTATTATCTCAGACTCTTCGCTAGTCATGAGTGCTCGGTAGGCTCTTGGAAGTGCATGAGCACTGTTGATTTACATATCCCATTATGCACAATAATTCAAGTAAAAGTTTCAAACTGAAGAAATTAAATCCCAGAAGTACCTTCTTGGTGGCAGGACACCCATAAGTTGATAAAAAGGTTTAAATGGTGAACCTTTCTGAAAGATCACTTTCACTTGAGAAAGACCCCTGAAGTCCGAAGCAAATGGACTGTAGTGGTATGGATAAAACCTAATGTAAAGTTCAAGTGTTGATCTTGTCATTAAAATGAACAACACAAGACTCAAATCATAATATTCATTTTAGTGAAAAATGTTATACCATGTCCATGAAGGAACTCCGGAAAAAAAAAACTGAAGCACCCAACATAAACCTTCAGTATATTTTTGAACCTACACACAATTAACAAAATAATTAAATAAAAAAGATCGGTCCAAAACTGCATGCAAAAGCCTATGGTAATCAAACAACATACCATTGCTTTCCTCATACTTTCCATATCCTCTTTACTTTCGGTACAAAATTTCTCCTTGTAGTATCTTTCTTTCCAACCTACGGAACCCAATCTCACCTGTGTAATATTTTCACGATTCAAGTGATTAGTCAAGATTTAACCAATGCTAGACATTTTCTGAAAAACTACTAAAATAAAGTAAATTTTAACATTAATAAATGGCCTAAATCCAAAGAAAAAAAGAAAAATTCAAAGGACAGAATAATACCTTGTCCAACAGAAAACTTCCACTCTTGAACAGGTCTGATTTGTCACGAACGTATTTCTTCAACTGTTCTTTCAATTCCTTTGTGTTCTGCAGAATCAGAATCTGTAATACCAAGAAGACAATATCACAAATAACAATGTGAAAATATCCAAATAGAAATGAATGCATAAGAGTAACATTTGACAAATCAATTAACTACAACACTATGGATTTTTTCCTTTTATCTTCCCTTTTTTTTTGGCTCCGAAATTAATAAAATAGGCATGAGCCTACCTGTTCTGCACCAAGTTGACGGCCCAACAATTATCAATTTATCATTCAGTATGACAACATAAAATGGTTACTAAAAGAAATATATAGCAGGACACTTGGTAGGAAAAAAATTCACCTACTTCCGAAATATCACAAGTTGAATTGACAGCTCCAATTGATGATGCAGAGTTTCCAACAGACTTGATCCCAAGATTTTTAGAGATCGGGGATTTCCCATTTGCAGCACCATGGCTGTTTCTCCCGTTGACTTCCAAATCTAAACCCAGATCTTCTTTTTCTTCTCGCTAGACAATACATAAATTTTTATTTAGTTCAAGATATGCAGAAACAAATAAGCAAGGCATTAGTCTTGAAAAATAATTTAATCTAAGAGATTGACAATAATTGATACTAACAATCTCCGAAGCTTCAGACAGGAGCCGTCTGACTTTGTGATCTCGCAATTCTGATCTTTTCTTGAAAATTCTTTCTTCGTATGCACCAACCAAAAGGATGAATTTCTCGACCCTTTTTAATTTTATATAGCGTGCTTTTTTGTCTCCCACCTGCTCACAAAAACAACAAAGGGGAGGCACACTCATACTTCCAGATTCTGACTATATTAAGGCATAATTAAAAGATGTATATTATTACCCATTGCATGTCAACTAAATATCCTCCCAAATTTTTGAACTCGTCTTTGTATACATGCATCAGTAAGTCGATAGCGCCCTATTAATACATTCATTACAGAATACATTAAATTGGTCGCATTTGATCATATAATGATATATGTAACTTTCATAGAAGGCACAAAAAAAATATAATAGAATAAAATAAAACCTCATGAATTGACAAGGTAGGCATGTGGGGTAGAAAATCATTCCCAGTAAAGATGCACATGAATATGAAGTCATCAATTATCCTCTCAAGATCAATCTTTATGTTCTGAGGAGGATCTGAGATTTTAAGATCAAGTTCTATATATTCTCTAAGGATCCAAACATGTAGAAACTGCAAAAGTAGAAGGAAACAAAATCAAAACATTGACCATGAAAGGTGCTGGTTTGGTTTAAAGCTAACGAAAATTAATTAAAATACCTGATAGGGCTTTTTTATCAAAGATGACTTTCCGCCAATAGACTGATGACGCTGTTGAAACCATCCTCGGGACCTTGGCAAACCAGATTCTGCTTGTCTAAGGCTGGTTTCAAGTACTAATTCACTTGCCGGTTGTTGCTCTTGTATTAGTACATCCTACAATATTTACCCAAAAGGGAAGAAAAAAAAGCTTAAACAATACTCGGCAAGCAGAGTATGCAAACATGAACTAATTGTTGGTTGTTAACAATTTAACAGTTCAGACTATAACACAAGTTGGTTGTTAACAATTTAACACAATTTATGAATTCGTGTACATACTACATTGAGAACAGTGCTTGATTGGTAGCAGAGTTTTAAATACCGGCTGATATATAACAGGATTTTGGATTTTTGATACCGATATACCAGCCGATAATGTCCGATATCGGCCAACATATAATGCTTTCAGTAATACCAACACGTATTCCAATACTGTTATTTAAAACCATGATTAGGAGAAAAATGGGATATATTATATGGCCTGATATGGTATAGCGCCATATAATGCACTAAAAATACATTAACTGAAATAAACACAAATCAGTCAAAAAAATTGTGATTCTCATGGAGCCATATGAGTTGAAATGAAAGGAATTCTCACTAAATCAAAGCAATGGCAATGGTTTAATCAACATATACCTCTCTCAAGATTGAAAAGTGCAATTCATGTGTTGCCAAGGCAAGCATAATAAAATCCGCATCCTGTATGTCGATAAATGTAAATTTAAATTCAAATTAGTTGAAACTAAGCAAACAAGGATAAAGGTTAAATCCCAAAAAACACATACAACTCAAATGAAACAGGACCAGGAAAAAAAAAAAAATAGAAAACAAAACAAAAGAAAGGGTTCCCATTATCCCATACCAAGCCATAAAGGCAGTGGTGCGTATTTGGATCATAATCGGGACAGGTACGCTGTAGCCGTATGAAGGACATAATTTTGTGTTCCCCCTCACCAGGAACATTGGCATCAGAAAGAATAACCTACAACATAAAATAAGATGGGAAATTTATCATTTAAGATTTTTAATTGGTAGATATAGCTGAATATATGTGTTCAAAACCGACGAGGGAAACTAATAATGCATATCCAACCTTGATATCCTTCCAACCGACATTATCTTTTAGGCGTTGATTAATATAAGCTTGGAGAGCAATCGATAATTCATGCATGAAAACTGTCCCCGGTGTTATGATGTTGGAATCTGAAACTTCAGATTTCGGCAAGCAGAGTATGCAAACATGAACTAATTGTTGATGATATAAATATCTAAGAACTTCAATTTTTAGATGAGTGGTCGTTTATCAGGGCGGGCAATAGATCCTTCCTTTCTCCAACAGTTCAGACTATAACACGAGTTGGTTGCTAACAAGTTAACACAACTTATGAATTTGTCTACATACTACATTGAGAACAGTGCTTTAGATAGGTAGCAGAGTTTTAAATAACAGGATTTTGGATGTTTGATACCGATATACCGGCCAATAATGTTTGATATCGGCCAATATATAATGCTTTCAATGATACCAGCACGTACTTCAATACTATTATTTAAAACCATGATCGGGAGAAAAATGGGATATATTATATGGCCCGATATGATATAGCGCCTTATGATGCACTAAAAATACATTAACTGAAATAAACACAAATCAGTCAAAAAAATTGTGATCCTCATGGAGCCATATGAGTTGAATGAAAGGAATTCTCACTAAATCAAAGCAATGGCAATGGTTTTAATCAACATATACCTCTCTCCAGATTGAAAAGTGCAATTCATGTGTTGCCAAGGCAAGCATAATTAAATCCGCATCCTGTATGTCGATAAATATAAATTAAAATTCAAATTAATTGAAACTAAGCAAACAAGGATAAAGGTTAAATCCCCAAAAAACACATACAATTCAAATGAAACAGAACCAGGGAAAAAAAATAAAAATAAAAAACAAAACAAAAGAAAGGGTTCCCATTATCCCATACCAAGCCATAAAGGCAGTGGTGCATATTTGGATCATAATCGGGACAGGTACGCTGTAGCCGTATGAAGGACATAATTTTGTGTTCCCCGTCACCAGGAACATTGGCATTAGAAAGAATAACCTACAACATAAAATAAGATGGGAAATTTATCATTTAAGATTTTTAATTGGTAGATATAGCTGAATATATGTGTTCAAAACCGACGAGGGAAACTAATAATGCATATCCAACCTTGATATCCTTCCAACCGACATTATCTTTTAGGCGTTGATTAATATAAGCTTGGAGAGCAATCGATAATTCATGCATGAAAACTGTCCCCGGTGTTATGATGTTGGAATCTGAAACTTCAGATTCCTGTTTTGGCAACACTTGTTTGCCTTCCATTTCAAATTCCTTTCTTAACCTGGCTTCCTCGGCTTCCTGAATACAAACATATGAAAATCTTAATACTATATAAACCGAAAGCATTTAAGCTTAAAAGATGTCTATTGTTTGAGTAAAGAAAACTCACAGCAATTTCATTATCCTTTGCTGTACGGAAACGCCTTGTTCGTTGCTGATTCATTTTTGCTCTTGGTGCTACGCCATCTGAATGAAAATTACAATAGAAGTTATTGAAGCTATAAAATTCATTTTTCTTTTCCTTGAATCTGCCGAATGCTGTAATCCTACAGATCTCATTGTAAAAAATGGTACAAAATTATTGCCTTCAGAAATAAAAGAATTTTAGCATTTTATTAAACATTTGTAGTTGATCACTGCGAATGGCCTTTCTGAAGAAAACATATCTTGATCCATAGATCATCTGATCAAGAACTATTTGGCTGCTAAAAAGAAATAAGCTTAAAACAAGAGCATTCACCGTCATTTTCATCTTTTGCTTTGTGTTCCTGGGGAAAAAAAAAAATAAAAATAAAAAATCCTGATGGCCAAAAAAAAAAAAAATTTCTTCTTCTGGAAACACTCATTTTTAGGAAACACTTTTAAACTGTTTGATCCTTGATAAGATGCCAGCTCTTTTCAATTTAGACCAAGTTTGGGAAGACTAAATAAGTGCACTTTTTGTCTTTTTGGACTAAAAAATTGAGGTTGAAAATATGGATGTTTGGGTTAACTTTTTGACTTTTTATTGAAAAATGTGTAATAAAAAAATGAAAAAATTGATTCGTAGGGACCTATTTAAATTAAAATCACTTTTCAAAATAAGCAAAATTCAAAATTTTATCCTGACTTTTGGTGAATAGTGTTAACTTTTTAACTTTTTGAGTAACTTTTTGACTTTTTAGCTTTTTTGGAACATCCCAAACTTGGCCTAAGTATACTAATGATGCTCAACACACCCCTCACATTTGATTAGACTCTCCTACTAAATGGGCCAATTAGCACGTGCAAATAGTATACTAATGATGCTGGCAATGAGAATTGAACATAAAAAATCTATTGTCTCATCTGATACCATGTCAAAAAGCTCGAAAGACCAAATTTGAATGAAAGGCTCTGGCACATTAAAATCCCCAAACATATACGTCCATCCATTCAATTATTAATGGCCATGTGTTCTAGTTGTTCCTATTTTTTTTTTCAAAAATGATTGCATGCTCTGAAGCCCATTACCATGTGGAATTCCCGAAATATTTAATAATTACACCTCTCACGCACCAAAACCGAGTGTATTCACTTTAGTAAATATTAGATGTAACGGTGATACCACATGGTAGTATTGCCATCAAATAAACAATCTTGATTTACAATAGGGACCACAAGATTGTTGAGTTAGTGAAAGACAAGATTTGTCCACCAAAACCTTGTGTAACTTTTTATTGGTCAATATTTTTACGTATCAACTATAAGTTAACATATATAAAGTTACAAAAGATGAGCATGAGACAAAATATAAATATTAAACGCTAACTAATGTTATGTAACAAAGTAGAAGAATAGCTTACCAATGGCCATGTACAAAAGCTTGCGAGGCTGTACAACGGAAAAAAGCCTATCAATGTATTCATATATGTTGTTGAATACTTCTTGGAAAGTTTTTGGTGGTGAAGGCTGAAAATACACCGGAAGAGAAATTGAAGAATAGAAACAAATTAAAAGCACTACTGTGTATAAGTAGCTGCAAATACTGATTATGATTATACATTAATATATATGCAATTCCAAGGTTTTTCTGGGACTAATATCAAGCATGATATATGAAAATTAGAAGTAAAATAGTAAGGGTTAAATTACATTTATCACCTGAAATTTGCAAAAATAAAATAAGCATGATAAATTTGACATAATCACACTAGTTTTTCTTCTTTTAATAAGACTAAAGCAACCAAAATTAATACAAATAATGTGTAAGGACAAGAATAATAATGATAAACTGCGTATTTTAGTATAAAAAAATATGATACTATCATTTTTGTTCATCCATACAATTAACAAATTACTGATGAATTTGAAACTAAATGTTATGTGAATTAAAAATAGGGTAAATTACAAACGCACCCCCTGAGGTTTACTTAAATTACAAATTACCCCTGTGGTTTTAGAAGTTACATTATGCCCCCTAAGGTTTCTAATTTCATAACAAATAAGTCATTTTATTAATAAATTATCAAGTTAATTAACAGTTTTTATTAATGTTAAAATTTTATTTTAATTAATATTTCAGTTTATTTTATTATTGTATAGGTGAACAGTTAAAAATTTTACTTTTTCAATTAATTCTGTTAAATAAAAAATTATGACAGAGAAGTATTTATAATTTTTTCAAACCACAATGATGATTCATATTTTAAGCAAATCTCTGCAGTATTTGTAATTTACGCTTAAAAATATAAGAGAGCTTAGTATAATTATACCAAATTTGTCATGCTTAATTGATTTTATTTTATTTTTGAAACTTAAGATATTACCCAATAATAAATGTTAGTTTGAATTAAACTAAAAATACTTCTCTTTTCTCATAGTTAATCATTATAACTGTGTAATAGAGGAGAGGATCTCCAAATTCTAGTATCTAGGCTTCTATTTTCATTACAAATTAGAGTTTTAAAGATGGTTCCATATTTACCGTAAGCCTATACGAGATTTTGAATACTGATATATTGACCAATACTATTCAATATAGATTGATTCATGTACAGTTATTGAAAGTATCATGTTATTAATACAAAATCCAAAGTACTAGTAATCAGATATGGTATGATGGAACAGAAAAATAATACAAGTAAGTAAGTATATATACAAAGAAAATAGAAACAGTAACATATGCAAGTAAGTATTTTACAAATCATTTATCACAAATCACAATGGCACAACTCAATATTACGGGACTCATAACAAACAAACAAAAACAAAAAACAAAAAGGATGATCGACATACATGTATACATAGAGTGCAACAGGTGAACAAGATATATATATATACATACATACGTATAGATAGATAGATAGACAAGAAGGAAAAGAAGGGTTGATTGATATATACGTACATGGTCATCAGGATGGAAACAAGGGTGTATGATACCATTCATGTCAAGATAGAGGTTATCATACTCTATCCCATTTGGGTTTACTAAGTTTGTTTCTATTTTTTCTTCTTTTTCTTCCATGGCGTTCACTGCAATCTTTGGGTACTTGTTCACTAACCATCGATAAAACGACGGTACTCCCATCTCTCTCTCTCAGTATATGCGCAGCAGTACAAAGAGCTCAAAAAAATAACACAAAAAGCTTACAAACAAGAGTAGGGAAAAACAGAGTGTACGCAAGTGCACAGAGAACGAGTTGTTGTTAGCTATTTTGAAAGAGAGAGAGGTGAAGATTTGTTGTTGGGTTTTAATTTGGCAACTGTGGTGTGGTGTGCTGCTGCAGACTCCACATGGTTTCGAGGGGGTGGGAAATGATTAGACGAGTTTTCTAGATATATTTGACGGATTAGACGAGTTTCCTGGACATATTTGACGGTGGAAAATGATCCGTAGCTCGAATATATTGGGTCGACTGGCTTGAAAATAGAAGTTTGTCTCTCCTCTCTCAGCACTCTCACCTCTCACCTTTCTCTCAATCTCGCCTCTCTCACCTCATCCGAACGACGACGAGATGGTAGACGAACGACGACGGAAGACGAACGATGATGATGATGGTGATAGGCGACGGTGCGGCGGTGATGGGCGACGGTGTGAGACGGTGATGGGCGACGATGTGATGACGGGCGACGGTGTAGATCGGTGTTTGGTTTTTTATTTTTTTTTGTTTTGAAAATCTTTGTTTGATGATGATGATGTTGTGTGTTGTTGTGGTAATTGTTGATGATGATTTGAACAGTTTGATTGGTTTTGGTTGTTGATGATGATGTCTCACTAGGTGGGTTTGATTTTGGGTGGGTTTGATTTTTGGTTGATGATGGATGATTCTCTCTCTTTCTCTGATTTTCTCCTTTTTTTTTTTTTTTTTTTTTTTTTTTTTTTTTTTTTTTTTCTTTTTTTTTTCTTCTTCTTCTTCTTTCTTTTGCCAATTATGAAAAAAAACAAAAAAGTTTCAAAATGATGTGGTTTTGAATTCGGGCCAATTTCGAGCTCAAAAGTTCGAGCTACGTAATGGAATCGTTTGACGATTCGAGCTACGCAGCAGAACCGTTTGGCGATTCATCATCATCATTATCAACATATTTGCTAGCACCTAAATAGATTTTTCACAAATAGAAGGCTTTTGAGAAGTAATAAAAAAGTCAATTTTTAGTTTTTTATCCATTTTAGTTTATAGCACTTCTCACATTTTTTATTTATAAAAAGATAAAATAGATTAAAAAAATTAAAAAATTAATTTTTTACCAACTTTTCAAAATACAACACAATCTCGCCATGTAGTTAGGAATTGGAAGCCCTCAAATAATTCGAATGCTTTTGCCCAGTTACCTAGATTTGTGTGAAACCATACTCATCTCTTTTCTTTATTTTTGAAACACCTCACTCTCTCTCTCTCTCTCTCAAACAGTCGATCGTTGACAATCTCTCACTCAGCATCGCCAACCGACAGCGATTCTAACTTAGGCTAGGTTTGGCATCTCCTAAAAAAGTCAAAAAGTCAAAAAATCATTATCCTATTTAAGTCATATCACCTCTCTACCACATCACTTCAAACCCAACCCATATTTCATAAAAAGTTAAAAAGTACAATTATTTAGAACATCTCAAACAACCTTTTAACGTTGCCAATGATCTCTCACTTACTCACCGCCGATGATCTCCCTCGCTCACTGATAAGAAGAAACAGTCTCTCTCTCAAACCACTGATTGCCGACGAGAGTAAATACGAACCAAGAAGATAGATTTTGCTTGAATCAGTTGAAAATATTTTATTTTTTGCTTGAATCAGTTGAAAATGTTTTGATTTGAGACTGAAGATGGACTCTTTTTTTTTTTTTAAATGAATTTAGGACTGTTGATTTTTATGAGATAGTTTTGATTACAAATTGGGGAACTCAGTGGTCATTGATAGTGGTCTGCTGTGAAGAAACGGAGTAGAGAGACAATAGAGAGAGAAGACAAAGCTTTTTTTCAGAAAAATAAAAGAGAGAGATCAACATGAAAAACACTTGGTACCCATTTCCAAATTTCTTGATTCTTTTATTCGTTTGGTTGCTTAGAATCTCACAATCTTGTTGGAGGATTTTTGATTGCGTTGTTCTTTTTTTTTGTTGCTTAGAATCTCACAATCTTGTTGGAGGATTTTTGATTGCGTTGTTCTTTTTTTTTGTTCTTGTACTGGGTTGTTTTGTTTTTACTTTTCTTTTCCTTTTTTTTTTTTTTTTGGGTTAATTCTTCGTTGTTGTCGATGCTTCGTTGTTGTTGTTAGCTATTTTATCAATACTTCATTGTTGAAACTTATTTGTCTTTAAACTATTTTTCTAAACAAAAGAGCACTTCTTTTGTATGTTCCTTTACTTTGCCAAAATATGAATATTTCATTGTTGAAACTAATGGAGCACTTTTTTTGTATTTTCTTTTGCTTTATTAAAAGATAAATGCTTTACTTTGCCAAAATATGAATATTTCATTGTTGAAACTAATGGAGCACTTTTTTTTGTATTTTCTTTTGCTTTGTTAAAAGATAAATGTTTTGAGATTTGAGAAAAAGAGAGATAAAGTGGAGAGAGAAAAGGTAATGGGCATGTGTAAAAAAGGCAAGACAGCCTAGTAATAAATTCGGGAGTTGGGGTAGGTGCTGTCACAGCGCTGTGACAGTCAAACCGTACCGTTTTATTTATTAAAATAAAAAAATTAAAACACAAGCACGCCTACTGTCTTGTTGTAGTATAGAACAACACTTTTATAGGTTGGCTTTACAAAAATAAGGCGCCACTATAAACAAACAAAAAATAAAAAATTGAAACACAAGTCTATGAGCATGTTTTTGAAAGTAATTTGAATTTTGAATGATTTGGTATGTGAAGAAATTGAATTTAGAATGATATTTAACATTGAATTGGTTGCTTGGTTCATAGTTTAAATTCAACTTTATTTTTGATTTAATTCAGTTGTTATAATTATATATATATATATATATATGTAACTATATGTACTTTTTATATTATATGGTTATTACAAGTTGTATAGTTGAAGTATAATTTGTTTCAAGTGCTTATATTTCAACATTACTTTTCTTTTAAAATTTAGAGTAAATTACATCGGTAATTTCTAAATTTTGTCTCTTGTATCATATTGAGTCTTACACTTTCAATTAGTTTAATTTTGACTCTTAATTTTTTTGATTTTTGTGTTAATTTGGTCCAACTGACAATGCCGTTAGGTTTTTTGATAAAAGAATAATTACTAAGTTGGTTGATACTAACTCAGTAAATTGATAAAGCTTATAAATTTGTTCTTACGTGATACATGTCGCTCATTTTGCATTTTTTTTTTTGTAAAATAGAACTATCGGTGCAGTTTATCTTAAAATTTATTTTTACAAAAAAATAATTTTGAGACAAATAAAAATATTATAAAATTCAATTTTTGTACTATTTTTTACATATTTTTTTCAACTAATCATACCTATTGTTTAAAATTTTTTTTATAGCTTCTTATTTTCCTAAAATCAACCCAAACATAAAAGTGTTGTTCCACACATACACTATAGCAAAATGGCGACTTAGGCCTTGTTTGGCATAATCTAAAAAATTTAAAAAGTTAAAAAGTCACTATCCTATTTAAGTCACATTATCTTATTTAAATCACATCACCTCTCTAACACATCACTTCAAACCCAACCCATACCCAACCCCTATTTCATGAAAAGTCAAAAAATACACTTATTTAGATCATCATAAACTACCCCTTAAGGCATGAGTTCATTTTTTTCTTTTATTTCTTTAACAAATAAAACGACACCGTTTGGCTATCACAGCATGGTGCTGTGACAGCACCTACCCCCATTCCATAAATTCGAGTCATTCGAATTCTTTTTAGCTGAGCTACAAAACAGAAGGGCTATTTGGGAAGTAGGATTTTAGCTTAATTTTAGACTAAAATTTAAAAAAGATAAAATAGGTTAAAATAACTAACAAAATAAAATGTCATATTAAATTTATAATTATTTTATTTTTTTCTCACAGATATCACAATTATTTATAAAAATATTTAATTATCTTCTCAAATATAAAAATCTATATATATATACTATATATTAAGCAAAAGGGGGTTTTTAACCCCAAGTCTTGTGAGAGTTCCATTCTCTCAATCTAAATTTCCTGATTTTTTATTTAAAAAAAAAATCTTAGCATTTATTAACTTCTCTCAACCCCCAAGTCTTACCCTCATAATAACACTTTAATGCATTAAGAACAAACATAAAAAATTTTTTCTTGAAAAGTCCAAAACATATGATTATTATCAAAATATTAAACTTTAATATAATATAAAAAAGGAAAAAAAGAAGACATTTAAAAAAAAAATTTAAAAATCACAATTCACATATATAGATAATTGTAAACACAATAAAATAGGAGGGCATTCATGTCTACACGGTTTTTTTTTTATAAGATCTCATTTATTATAATAAGATAGCACTTTATTTCTCTCATCTTATAATCTATACTATATATTAAGTAAATGACGGTTTTTAACCCCCAAGACCTGTGAGAGGTTCAATATCTCAATCTGAATTTCTATATTTTTTATTTTTTATTTAAAAAAAAATCTAATCATTTATTGATTTGGTCAAAATCTCCTGATCAGCATTTATTAAATTTTTTCAATCCACATGTCTTTTCACATGTCTGCATTTATTGATTTGGTCAAAATTCCCTAATCAGCATTTAAAATCCCATCATACAAATAATTATAGATACAATCCATATATAGTTACTGCAGTACCTTTTTCAACTTCTCTTATACAATATGGTTAGTGATAAGATTGTTAAATTATTTTTATAAAAAATCTTTAAAAACATAATTTATATATTAAAACAAATCTAAAACAAATATAAAATATCTATAATTATCCCGTGCATAGCACGGGTGATAGGCTAGTCTATACTATATATTAAGCAAAAGGGAGTTTTTAACCCACAAGTTTTGTGGGAGCTCCAATATCCCAATCCTAATTTTCTAATTTTTTGATTTTAAAAAAAAAATCTCAGTATTTATTAATTTCTTCCAATCCCTATGCCTTTTGGGAGATTTGGTCAAAACTTCCTCATAATTAAACTTTAATGCATTAAAGACCAGCACAAACAAAATTCTTTGAAAATTTCGACACATCTATCTATCTATATTAAA